GTAGTTCCTACCCATATTTTAATTTTGAAAAATAAAGATACAAAACCACTTAGGTCAGGCATATTAAAAAAATATACTCTGTGCAATAAAACTAACTGTCTTCAAAGGTCTTATTAAAATTTTCTAACAACCAACACAGCTTAAATCCTGTTTCATTATGACATTAAGATTTGCAGAAGGAAATACATATAACAGTAGTATCTCTTAGCAAGTATATGAAACCTTGAAAAGGTTTCTTTTAAGTACTTGTTTGTTATGCCTTAAAGGTTAACAGCAGTTTTCCTTTGAACACAACTACAGCAGGTTTTTTCTGTAATGTGAAGGTCATGAGCAGAATTTTGGATCCTCAAAGAGATTAGGTCTTGTGGGTACAACTCTTCTGTTACTAAGAAAATATGAACACTGAAGCAGATAGAAATATCCATTTTGCACCATTTAAAAGACCACTACAGTTAATATTTTAAATAATCCAGAATTTGGAAGCATAGAATTGAGGATTTTTTCCCTAATCCACTTTTCTCATCTGTGGAAATTTTTTCCCCCAGAGATGCCTGAAGTGTCACCCTCAGCAATAAATCAGAACTATCTGCACAGTGGAAACACTTCAACAGGGCACCTGTTGAAAAAACACTCCAACAAAGTCTGGTTTTCACAGATTCACAAATGCTCATCTGCATGGAAGTCACGAGGCAAATGACATGGATGCACCTCTTTAGGATCTCTGCAGAAGCCTGAATTGGCTTCTATTTTAGATCTTTACCCATCTACACCCCTCCCACTAAATTTTGTTAGAATGTCACATGACAACAGCAAAATACTTTCATTAAACCTTCATTTACATTAATCTAGTTAGAACAATACCATGATTCTACAATTACATACACCACTCCTTAACTCAGTCCCACAAATAGTCCTTACTAAAATTAGTATTAGCATGCATGCAAAATTAACACTGTCCTTAGTCAAACCAAGAACAGAACTGGAGAAACACTTCAGCCTTCAGTGTGACACTGATTTCTGCATTTCTGCTGCTTTCCAGAAGAACTTTAATAGTTGTGTATGCTGTCCAAGAGAAATCAGGAGTTGCATTACCTCAGAGTAACCTGAAGAGGTTACTTAGTCCTAAGAGAAACTTTCCCAGATTTAGTCTAAAGAACCAGAATTATTTCCCCCCTGGAATTTCCCAGATGGCAAAAACACTCACCCAAAAGCCTAAGTGACAATTAAGCAAAAGTCTCCTTTAGATATTAAAAACTTTAATATAAATGGATTCATAAGTCCAATCCACATTATTGCATTTGTGACACCATGTTTGTGGAATAGAATTCTTTAAAAAAAAAAAAAAAAGGAATTTAGATTTCAGATCTTCCCTCTTTCAAGAAGCTAGTATTAGTTTCGGGGGTGGAGGGGTATTTCATTCTTTATGAATATATCAATAAAAACATCAATGGAGTTAAAAAATCAAGGTAGAATTTGTTTTGCAGTCTCATCTCCTTAAAACAAATCAGAGATCTGTTTATACAAATGGAGAAACTGAGTCACGAAGGCAAACTGAGTCATTAAAACTCATACAGGAAAACTCTGGAAGATCTCTAAATTCCCAAGAGGTTCCTAGTGCATAAAACAAACTGTAAATTTTGAAAATTTGTATTTTTGGTTTATTTCATTACCCTCCCCCAAACACTTTTTGTAAAGTGTACAAGGTTATTTTCCTCTAATTGTTAATCAAATGTCTGCTTGAGAACATGACGAAGCCATGGAGAGCTGCAGAGTGTGGAGCAGCAAGAACAGGAGCTTCCAACTGAAGGCAAGGAAAGAAAAAGGCAAAAGGTTTCCATAGAGGCTCGCAATTCTTTGTCTTTTTCATGTACTTTTAAATAGAGAGAATAAGACAGGGCTTAGAAGAAAAAAATCGTATTTATATAAATAAAGATGATGGGAGCATGCATTACTGGAGAATTAATGAAATCACTCAGCCTTTGGCCTCAAAACACACTAAAGGCATGCATTAACAATCCCCTAAAAGTCTATCTTACTGTTCAAGTATCCTCAAATCCTACATCAGCGCTTCTAAATGGTATTTAAATTAAAATTCATCACAGATTGAAGACAGCTTTGCCACTTCAACACCTCACTTTTGATTTCTTAAATCCAGAAGGTTCTAAAGCTATACTGGAATAGGAATTCAAATCTCATTAATTTAAAGGACAAGACTAAAGACAGGCATTAAAAGAGGTGAAAACTTATTTTTTGTTATAGTTGCTTAAAACATACAATTTGCAGCTGCTATAGTATGTATCAGAACACACTACACCAACTACCAAATAATGAATCCTTGTGACCTCCCTTCCCCCCACTCAAACATATTTATAGTGGTGATACTAAATGGTTCATATTTCATTTAGGAAAAAAATTAGACGTTAGGAATCGCACCTTCCCTCAGGACTAGTGTGTGTGTTATCACATACACAATTTATCCAGCAACATATAAAATTGAAGAAAAAAATGCAATGCCAAAATTACATGGCAGCAGAAGAAATTCTGTGTCTTTAAATAAAGTAACAGGTTATAATCTCATGTGCATTATTCCCTTAAGTTCATTCTGTATTCTCTAACTATGAATATATGGAATTACTACACCGATGTCCAGTGAAGGTATTTCCTGGAAGATGAACGTGACGTTCACGAATGTGCTTCCACAAAGAATTTAGCCGAGTGTCTCAGTGACCGTAATCCACGACTGTGGTTGATAAATATTACAGATTCTATGCCGTTAGTAGGACAGACAGCTGCACCGTATCGATCACAAACGCAGGAGCCTTTCCAATTCAGCAGCCCGACACCCAGATCACCTCAGAGCACCACACACACCCCTCGAAGGAGCTGCCTGAGTCTGTTGCCTCTTTCCACCCCCCTTCTCCCCGACAAGAGTGGTCTCGTTCACTTGCCTTTCACACACATAACCAATAAAATTAATCAGCTGGAACACAGCATTTTTAAATCGCAGTAAAAGCCAAGAGCTGTTTTGTACGTTATTTGAAGGGAACAGCCTTTTCATTTTAACATAGTAAGACACTAATATGCTGCAGACAAACGCACTGCATGGGGTGTGGAGGACCCGAGCTGATTAGATTACCACAACATCAGCCTGAGGCCGCCATTTTTAGAATCTCTAAAGGACAAAAGAGGGAAATTAATAAATTTGCTCCACATTTTTAAAAAAGTAACTTCAAAAGTATAGTGATAATAACCAATTAATCATGCATTGCAAGTACTGCCACGGATATCTCCTGATGTTCTCTGATCTGAACCCTGAGTAACAAAAATGCTTCGTTATTATTCCTTTAAGCTACTGTAAATAAACAGACTAAAACATTCGTAAATCTAGATGCAGCACTGAACTTCTGCTTTTGACGACACGTAGTATGTAGCATTTTAGGGACCTCAGGGCTTTCAGACACCGCACGTTCCCTAATAGCCGAGTATGGGGGAATACAGGACCTTTATAATCAGGCTATATTATGTTTCTCTCCCCTATTTAGTAGTACACAGTGAACCGTTTGTTTCTCTTCCCCGGTGTCTGCAGCAATACGGTGGAACCCACCGACACTTACAGCTTCAGGAAAGAGAATGAAATATGCCATCCAGGGAACACGAACACTAGCTGCAGAAACTAAAGCGAGAAATGGGTGCACCAGTCCAACTCCTTACAGCCTCGAGAAAGGGGGTGGGGAGAATGATCCCCTTTTAAATTGGCACAGAAACTCCTGGGGACAGCTCTCCGTTTGTCCAGGTTACACCACGAAGCGGAGATATTAACAGGGAGGCAGGCAGGGAGGCGGGGGTGTGGAAGGCAAAGAGATTAGGCCTATAAAGAGCCATTTTAGTACCACAAAGCAAAAATATACAGGATGGAGGAAAAGAATAGGCTTCCCCAAGCTTCATAAAACTCAATACGCAGTCCCAATAACGCACAAACCCGTTCTGAAAACCGCCAGCCCAAGGAAACCTATGTTGTCACATAATAGCTCCTTTTGGCTCATTTTCCGAGCATAATGCATAAATCTGGCGTAACTGCCAAAAAATTCTCCTCAGCTCCTCCAGTTACAGTAACCCGCCATATTCATAAGATATAGCGACAGCCTGCCATTTTTTAACCAAACCCCACAAAAGGAAAAGCAAATTCAAAGCAACTTAAACAGAAATTAAACACATTTCAGGGTGGGAAGGAGTTATACTCGCACCGAAGGTAATGAGACATTCCCGTCGCATTTCACTCTTTTTCCACCCCCCCTCCCCCAAAGCACCCAGAGCAGAATATGCTCGTAATAACCAAAGACTCACCTGTAATGGTCACAGGCCAGGCAGCAGGACCCCTCAGCTGAGCCCCTTCTCTATCCCAACCAAAACAATGCAACAGCCCCACTGCGGATATCCCTACCCTAGGCAGGACTCAGCCCTCAGCAGGCTCTAGTAAAAGAAAGGGAAAGAGGAGACCCCCCCTCCCCCCAAACCTAGCTCAGTGCGCAGAACCCTACAGGGACCAGCTCAAAGGCGCCTTTGCCCTGGGACCTGTGTACAAACCCCGCTGCTGCCGCCGCTGCTCCCGTGCCTCCCTCCCTCCAGCCTCCTACGCTCCCTTCTATGTCACTGCCTCTCTCTGGGAAAATGGCGTCCGCTCTCCCCTCCCTCCCCCTGCACGGGGCTCACCCGCCCCGCCTGACAGGGGCAGGGTTACCAAGGCGAAGCCAAACAGCCGCCATTTTGCTTACGGGCCGGGAGCGCAGCCCGCGCCCGCCGAGCCCTCAGAGTCCATTTTGCAACACGCAGAACGGCTCCGGGTTCTGGGCGCGGCCGCGGCACCAGACTGCGGCAGGGGCTGGGCAGGGGGGCCGTGAGGAGGGAAGTAGGGCAGCGGAGGAGGGGCGGCGGCAGCGGGGGCTGGCGCCGGGGGCGATCCGCAGCCCCGGCGGCGCAGCCCGCGCGGGAGGGGCGGGGGCTCCGTCCCGGCCTGTTGTGGGGCCGAGCGCGGGCGGGAGCGAGGGTGTCTGAGTCAGAGCTGCATCCTCGGAGGAATAAACGCCAAAACTCCCTCCTCGGCCGCTCTCACACCCCCAACCTCCGGCTTCTTCCTCACGACCGTCGATGCTGTCAGCATACGTGTTCTTTATGAATCTCTAACAGCACATTTTCGGCCTAAACTGCGCGAAAAGCCGGGCAGACCCGCTGGATCTCACACACGCAGAAGAACTACCTGAGGGGAGGGGAAGAGGGGAGCGAGAAAGGAGCGGGAATTTTTGCAGACCTGCTCAGGAGGTTTTGACTGAAACTTTCAGTAAGACACTCGAGGCTGAGAATCTTCCCCGAAGCGTTTAGGACTCAAAGGCAAGTGGGAGAAAGCTTTTTTCCTCAGAGCGAATGCGATAGCACTCGCTGAAGGCATTTCTGTTCTGCAGGGAATGAGACAAGCAGAGAACGAGCCTCGTTTGCCCGTTAGGGAACAGCGCTCGGGGAGTAGGAATGGCGCGCTTCCATCCAGACCAGCGGGCGCTGCCACTGCCAGGAGCTCGCTCAGCCTTTCAGGGCAAACACAGCTCCTGCCGTTCGTAAGCAGCCCGTCTTTCTAACCACCATGTCTCCTTTTCGTTGTACCCCTACGCCGCCCTGCCTCCCTTGCCCGGCTTCAGCCCCTCCAGCGCTACGGCTGATGGAGGGAGGGGAGGCGGCGGCTGGGGTTTCGTTCGACGCCCACCAGGGGCTGAGCGAGCCTTCTTCAGTGCGCAAACTCGGGGCACCAGATAAAAGCTGGGCTGGCAGCTCTTACCCTGCCTCGATGGAGCCGCCACTTTCGGGTGACTGGAGAAGCAGTTAGCAGCAGCGCCATAGACTAGCGTCCCCCCACACCTTGGGCACAGAGAGTTTGGGGCTCTAAAGAGCTGCTGCTGCGGCAGGAGGGAGCCGAGGTGAAGGGATCTGCTAGCTGGTTGGACGCAGAGGAGGCGGCTGTAATGGGGCATTAAGTCTGAGGGAGGAGGGGGGGCGATTAAACCTCTTGTGATCATGGCGGAGTCTATGGGTATTTTTTTTTCCTGTCTAACTCTTCTGTGCGTGTGTCTCTTGTTTCTTTCTCTCTCTCTCCTTAGGGCGCTTGGCTGGGGCTGTTCGCTCGGGTTCTGCCTGTTGTTGCGCGAAATGGCGGCTGGCGTCTTGGTGGGTTTGGTTGTCGGTTTTTTGTGTAGGGTTTTTTTTTTTTTCCCTTCCCCTCCTATTCCCCTCCCCGCACTTGTGCCTTGGCTGCGGCTCCGCAGCGAACCGCGGCGGAGCCCGAGTCAGGAGGGGGGCGGGAGCGGCGCGGCAGCCAATGGCCGGGCCGGCCCTGGTGGCCCGGCGCGCCCTGATTGGCTGGCGCTGACATCATCCTGCAGCAGGGGCAGCCGCAGCTGGGCAGGGTCGGGAGCTGTCGGGGGAGGCAAAGGGAGAAAACGGGCGCCATGATCTCAGCGCCAGGGAGGACTCCGCGGGCAGGGCGTCCCCGAAGAGCTGGCGAAAAGAAAAGCAGGATCGGGCCTGGGCTTCTCCTTCTCGAATAGTGCCGGGGCTGTGCTGAGAGGAGCGGGAAACGAGCGAGAGGGGAGCAACTCATGCCTGCCTTTGTAACTGCGTCAGTACAAGATGGCGCAGGGTGTCCCTGGAGAGGGAAGGGAGTTGCACGTCCGCCGGAGGTCATGTGACCGCGTTGCATTCCTGTGGGGTTTGGCTGCGGACCAAGCTGGCTTAGGCGGCGGCGGCGGCTGCCCGGGAGAGCCCGGGCTTCCCTCCCCCTCCTCCTGCACAACGTCGTCGGTCCCGCGCTGGTTCCCTTCCCCCATCAGCCTTATGCACGAGGGTGTAGCTGCTGCCGAGGAAGGTTCTCGCTTCTCTCTTTACTCTCCACCCACCTCCAGGGTGTAGCTCCTCTTGGGGGAAGCTTTCCATTCCGCCCCCTCTCTGCGCAAGGCTTTACCCACCGCCAGGGAAAGTTCCCCCTGGGTGCCTGCTGGCTCCGCCCGAGCGTGGGAGCCGGCTCGGTGCGAAGGCACTCTGCTCTGAGTTAAGTTGCAGGGGGTTATGGAGTGGTTCTTACTGGAACAGTCGTTTTAAGCGATGTCTAAATGACCTCATTAAAGCCGCTGAGGGAAATGTTGCAGGCCGCGCGGAGTTGTTCTGATGAGGAGGTCATGGCTGTTCCAGTGTTGCTCTGCCGGGGGTACGGGTGGGGAGGCCCAGGGAAAATCTCTCAGGTGTTTATGACTTTATTCTGCTTGAACAGGAAAAGTGGATCGCTGTTCTTTGTGTGCTGTTGAATCCTGTTGCAGGAGTTGAGCAGCTTTCTGTGGAGCGATAGGTGTATTCCAAAGTCAGGCCGCAGATGGCCTGCATCTTTAACACGGGAATTGATGTTTGTACTTAGTGCAAATGAAAAATATGGTCTGCAAATATTGTGAGGACTCCCCATGTTTTACTTTGAGGCAAATGAACTTGTTACATAGGCCTGGAATGTTGGCAAATATATTTTTCCAGGTCTTTTAAAAAAAATTTCAATATTCACTGGATGGGATGTGAAAAATGTATGTTTTCCAATCCTAACCCTTTTCTTTAAGGAATGCAACTCCTGTTACAATTTGGTTGAGCTTCTCATATTTTCAAAGCAATTCAGTGCTAGTTCCCATGTCGTGTTCTTGTATGCCACAGTGTAAATTTAGCCCCAGCATCTAACCCAATGAACAAATTAACAGTTAAAATTGTTGATGATTTAAAGGTGTTGGAAATGTTTGATGATTTAAAATGGAAATGTTTCACTTTTTCAATTCTTAGTCTGTCCCTGGATAGATGGATTTTCTTCCTTTTTTCCTCCACAGTGGCAACCTGAATGGGCATAAAGCTTGACTATTTCACAAATGTGCTGTTTGAGAACAGGAATGAAAGTAACTGAGTGTATGACTAATAGAGAAGATTTTTGTATAATAGCTGCTCTTTAATATGTGTTACATAAGTAATATGGTGAGGTGGAGTTCAGTTATATAAGAACTGACTGGGGACTTGGGAGCTGCTGTAAGTAGTTCATATTGGTCGCATATATAGCCTGCAGGGCATCCCTGTGTTGTGGGAGGAGGGGTAGAAAAACAGGATTGGAAGCATCTAACAGCCCTACATTTTTCCTTTGTAGGTTTACAGAGGATACCAGGAAAGAAAGGGAGAAGGCAGTAATTAGGAATGACAGAGTGTGAAGCTTTCAGATGTCTGTAGTCTCATTTGAGCTTAGGTTTTAGGATGTAAGCTCTGTTTTCTCAGAGAGAAGGCTCCTCTCCTTTGAGTGTCAGAAGGTGGCTGCCAGGTGGGCCTTGTGCCGACTGACTTGTGTGTGGACTATAAAGAGCAAGATTCTTGAGTCCTAGAGATTGTGAACCAAAAGAAAAAGCTTACTGGAAATGGTGTTAGGAGGAGGCAGTTGGTTTGTTGATCAAACATTAAAATGACTGGATTACTGATTCTTCTTGTGTAGGCATCATATGACACAAGGTAAATACTCCTTTGTAATGGAAGCTTCCAGAGAGGCTTTCAGTGTACAGTGATTCTTTTAACACAGCACTGATTTATGTGGGACTTGACATTGTGAATACTTTGTTGCAGATGTGTTAACAACGGGAGAACATTAATTTCAACTAAAGATGAGGGGAAAAGCATTTTATTAGTATTTGTGTTTAGGAATGTGTGCTGTAATTGTGAAACAGTAATTGCCTGCCACACTGTGTAAGGATTGTTTGAATGCTTATGTTATAGAATGGTTTATATAGCTAGAATTTTAATTCTTAAAGCAACCTTTTAGGTAACTCACTTTGATAACAGATTTTGCTTGAAAACCAAGAAATTAATTACTTTAAAAGCTCTCTATTGCAGCAGTACTTGAATGGAGGTGTGGCTGTGCTTTTGTGAAGCTATAGAAATAAAGGCAAGTTTTAATGACCTGGTAGTAATTCCTTGTTTGTTTCAAGGTTGTTTTTATTAGCAGTTCTCAGGAAAGCAGTTATCTTGAAAGAAGCAGTAGCTCTGGTAGTGTTGCAGTGCAGTCTCCATCATGTATATTCTGAATTATTTGTGCTGCAGGAGATGAGTAAAAACTGTGTGTATTTCTTTGAGACAGAGTATTTGCCCTACAGCCGTTCTGATGCAAGCTGTTTTAATCTTGAAGGGAAGAAAAAAAGCTGTAGGAGACTGGGTAAAAAATGGTGTGTAGCTTACCAGGGAAACAAACAATTTCTATTTGTTCCTTAAGGAGGATACTCCAATGGGCTGGATGCTCTCCAGCAGTCAGACCTGTGGCTCTGACTTGCCTTGGTAGCCTGTCTGTGCATGCATGTGTGGTCTGAGCCCTTGCTAAGACCTGCTCTTTAAACAGTTGTTTACCTTTGGCCATACAAAGGGGCTGACAGGAGTTCAAGGGTATTTAGGGGAGAAAGGAGAGAGATACTCCCAGTGTAATAGATCCAGCTATGCATTAGTGTCATAGTTGAGACAGTTAAAAGTGCTCATGCTGAAAGATGATCCTGCTCTTTTTCAGCTGTTCATTCTTGCTTCTGCAAGTGATCATGGGGGGAATAGAAGTGAAGAATGGATGAAACATAAGCCAAACAGTAATGGATGGCTTTCTAATGTGACTCCTCATTGTGTGGCTTGACAAACATTCCTGTTTGAACAGGAGCAGAACGCACCTGGTGGGAAAATGGAGATATGCAGGTTTTAATTGTTAGTGAAGTTAGGTATGCCTTTTCTCAGGAAAGCTGCAGTTATTAAGGAGTTTTGAGGGGCACCTCTTGAAGGCTTTTGGCTAGTGGAGCTAGAATCACTGATACAGGGACTCTCAAAAACAAAAATTCTAAACTTTGAGTTTTTAAGTCATTGCTAAATTGACCTTCTGTTGTGGGTAGCAAGAGCACTTCAGCTTCACTGAATTGGTAGCCTGTAAAATTAAGTGTTATTCTCAGCTCCAGGCTAGTTAAGTGTTCTTAGGATTTTAGATGTAAGTTCATTTTGTTTCAGGGTAAAACCTGAAACAAGTTTACTTCATCCAGAAGTAGCTGATAATCTAATAGCTGGGGTATTCAGTGAAGAATTATTCCTACAGGATGAGATCATAGCTAATCATAAAAAGAGATGCCTGTGGGTCACACTAATCATGAATTTGGCAGGTAGTCACTAACCAAATGAATTTGCATTATTTGCAAGAGGAAAAGGAGTTCCAGTGACTGAGAGCTGATCAGTTTATCCACCTGGGTTTGGACTGACTGTGTTCAGTGCTCAAACAGCAGCAGGACAAGAACTTGCTTTGCACACTGCTTTAGGCTTTGTGTTACAATGAATCTTTCTGAAAAAATTGAGATTAGTAAGGTTTTGCATTAGCAGGAAAATAGGTTATTGGCTGGTTCTACAGTTCTTAACAGTTGAGTTCCTCACTTAAAGAGGCAACCTTAAAGCTGTTGTGTGGCCTCCTAATCCTGGAATTAGTGGGAATTTGTACCAGGCTCACTGCTGTGATCTCTGTGTAGTGAAGTGGGGCATTGGTTTGTTTTCTCCTTCCACATGACCCTTGTTACTTGAAGTAGAGTCTTTCTGATGAACTGCTAGTTGCTTTGGAGAGCAGTATGAAGGTCCAAGTAGCTACTTTCATAAGTGAGGTCGTGCTCAGAGATGATTGTAATGCAGCACTAGCCCTGAAATGCTGTCAATAGCAGTTCTTTGATGAAAAGAACCAGTGATTGAATGGCTCATGAGCAGTTGATGCAATATGGTAGTTTTTGAGGATCTTTAGGAAGAAAATGGGAGACAATACTGCCAGTTTGGAGACTTGGACTGTGCTGGAGTTGGGAATTTACTGAACTGGAGACTCTAGCATCCCATAAGTACAGCTGAAGGTGGTCCTGTCACAGAAGACAAGAGTTTGTGTTCCTTGTAAGCTCAGAAACCAAACAAATCTTAGCTGCTGGGTTTTTGTGCTTATTAAGTGTTGGAGAAAAGAAACTGTACTGAAACTTCTTACTGTGACTGCTCCATCTGTGAGCTTGTTAATGTGGCATGGTCATGCAGTAGATGTTGCTCAAAAGTAGAAATGCAGCAATATATCATGTCTCTTCAAAGGTTTAGCTTGTGAAGACTGCTGCAGTCCTACTCAGTGTGGTCTGTTTAGATGCAAAACAGAAATACTCAACAGGCTGAGGGAGCTGGAGCTTTTCAACACAGAAAAGAGAAGGCTCTTAGGGAGGTCTCATTCCAGCCTTCCTGTGTTTAAAGGTGGCTTGTGAAAAACAGAGTGACTCTTTCCATGGGCAGGGAGTGGAAGGAGGTGGGTTTAAGCTAAAAGATGAGCAATCTGGATTGGATGTTAGGAAGGGATGCTTGGAGGATAGTGAGGCATTTGAATAAGTTGTCCAGAGAAGTTGTGGATGTCCCATTTCTCAAAGTGCTCAGGGGCAGGTTGGATGGGGCCCTGAGCAGCCTGGCCAAGTACAGTTGTCTATGCCCATGGTAGGGGCTGGGAACTTGATGATCCTGAAAGTGCCTTCCAACCCAAACCATTCTGTGGTGTCTGACAGCAGAAAGGTGCACTAAGAATGGGGACCTTTTGACATTGAGCACCACTGCTTATAGTAATGGATTTGTTTCCAGCAAGCTTCAGTAGATTGGTAAATAGTGAATAATTTCTTTTAGTATTTCTTTTTAGTATTTTATTAACAGAAGTTAGTCTCTTTCTGTCCAGTTGGCTGTCATATATGGATTTTTGATAGCTCTTTGATCCAATGCTACAGATGTACCAAATACAAGTCCAAAACTAGCTTGTGTGGAGGATATGAGGTGTTAGAACTAGTGTGGGGGGCACAAGAGCTTAAGCTGAAGAGGTGGCTGGGAAACAAGCATTAGCATCCAGTTCTTGTGCTAAACTCCCTCCTTCCACATTCCTGCCTTTATTAGCAGGTTAGTCATGACACAGGACTGTCATATGATTCCCTGAATTTTAGTCAAGTAAGGAAAAAAAATTGGAGGTACAGAATTGTGCCACTTTATTAATGCAGATAAAAGAATCCCTCAAAGAGGCTGTGGCTGCTCATGATACTGAGACAGTAATTTAATCTCTAGCCCAAGCAGTGCTTTACCAGCTGCATTCCCTGGTACGTGCTAAGCAATGGTTGTGCTGCTTCATTTTGGGCCACTGTGCTTGTGGCCCAGTTTGTCAGGCTGATGATAGATTGTGCACTGTGGTCTTTTCTGTTGAGCCAGGACGAGCTGGCTGTCTCAAATTCCATCCAGAACAACTATGGGTCTTCTAATTAGAGATTTATTAAATAGTAGTGAATATCATTGTCACAAATATCCTGATTTAGAAAGACTGCTCTTCATTAAACAAAACTATTGCTTTTATCAGAGTGGTGCTACTTCAAATTCATCTTCAAAGCTGTGCTCCATTACCCCAGCATACATATGCTGGAACAAGCTCATAAGCTTATAAAGGCATGCTGGGCAGTTGTCAGATCCTATTTTTAAACTGTTTCTGAGAAACACTTCTGCTTCCCTATCTCTGCATAGTCATAGGAAAGCCTATGCAGGAGCCATGATGTCTGGGCTCAGCTAACAGTAGTTTTTGAACTTGAGTGTCTCCTCTTCAGTGACAGTAAAATTGAACTGCCCTGATTGCTGTTGCAGAGGGGAGATGATGGATCACTGGGAAATAGTGGTAGTGGGCTATTGACTCCTTGACTCTAGTACAAACAATAAAAGAGTGTACAGGTATCCTCACTCCTGGGACCAGTGACAGGGCTTGAGGAAGTGGCATGAAGCTGAGGCAGGGGATGTGTAGGCTGGATAGCAGGAAAAGGTGTTTTACCCAGAGAGTGCTTGAGCAGTAGAATGGGCTCCTCCAGGGAAGTGATCACAGCACCAGCCTGAGTTTGGGAAGTGTTTGGACAGTGCTCTCAGGCACATGGGGTGGTTCTCAGGGTGTCCTGCATGTGGCCAGGAGTTGGACTCCATGATCCTGATGGAGCCCTCCCAACTTGGCATCTTAAAGACTGTAGATCTGTGGTGCTTGACAGCCTAGCCAAACTTTATTAGGAATCCTGATGCCTAGTATCAGAACAGCTGCTTTGCTATGCTCCAGAGAGTGCAAGAAGAGAGCTTTAAACACTTTAAATGGTATCTCCCCTGATGAATCTTGAGCACAACAGGTTTGGTTAATCTGCTGCTGATTTGTGGTAGCCCACTTACTATAATTGTGTGACACTACTGTATGCCACCTTTACATTTTCACTAACAGTGGAAAACTGCATAAAAATGCAAGTGATTCTGTAGGAAACTAGTATTTTAAGGCTTTTTCTCCCTGTGTCTAACATTGCCTGCTTTAGTCTAGGCCTGAAGTACAGACACTAAATATACCTGTTCATGTACTCCTATGCTGGAGAGGGAAGTCCTGAATTGAGGGACTTCTTCAGTGAATTTGTGTTTTGTAGCTTGGGTCAAAAAATGAAGAATACCAATCAAGCATTTAGACTTGATTTTGTTTGTTAAAACTGGCAGGCAGGGATATTTCAAACTAGGGAAACTACTATGAACAGGAAGGAAAAAAAATCATGCTCCTATAAAATGAATTATACAGAGCAAATTAACTGAGTTCTGTGTGTCTTAGAACTCTTTCAAGACACTCCTGGGACCCTGCAATTGCTAGTGTAGACCTAATTGATGGGAGGGAATTGTAATTTCAAAGTATTATTAGGACTGATGCCTGAGGGCTGTAGCCAAGCCTACTCTACATCTAGGAGTTGACAGTGGAGGGTCTTCTGATTTCTTTTTTTTTTTTTTCTAGAATAGGCAAGCCCTTATTCCACACTTCTCACAGATTGTGTGCTACAAATATTAGTGGCTTTATAAGTGCAGCTGTTAGTTAAATCAGTTTGTCTTGTCTTCTCTTTCAGTGGTATGACTACTTAATCATCCCCTTTAAGTAAATTGAAGTAGTTAACAGAAACCAAGGAGAAGAGCAGCTACCTAAATTTTGCCTTGTAGGACAAGTGTTTCTGCTTAAAGGAAGGAGAGGAACTTAGCATTGGGCCTATTTTAAGCTCATCCTACAGTGAGCAAAGCAGGGGGATCTTTTTGAGGGGTGTGGTACCTTTTGTCTGTTTGCTTAAAGATGCCCTTTAATTTCAGTAATGTAATGACACTGAACTGTTAACTCACTTAAAACAAACCTCATTAATCCCACGTATTTCTGTAACCTAACAAGAATATACTCATATACTTTCTGTTCAGTGTGGTGGCTGTGCCTTATGTTTCAAATTTCTCCTGTGACTGATCCTCACAGCCTTCCAATGTAGTTGTAGATAGCATATTACAACTTAGAGTTATTGAGCTGTCTACAAATGCTCCTTACACATAGAAGTGACTTGCTGAAAGGGGCTTCTGTGTGTCTGTAGGTGCTGCATTAAGCTTAGATTTTTTTTTCCCTGTAGCCCACCTGTGTATTGAGCAGTGTCTTGCTCTGAGTGCTTCTTCTTTTTGCTTGAATAGCATTGAGCAAGATTTATGTACTGATTGCACTCGGTAAAAGTAAGCTCTGCATTCTGTTTTGGATGTGTGTATTAATATGTGTTAAACATCTGTTTCATCTTTTTAGAAGCAGCATGTTGCAGTCTTGGATCACATTTCAAATCTGAAGCCTTTAAGGGATATCTGAGGTAACAGTTTATGTAGTGGGGTTTTCTTACATGGTGCAAGAATGAGTATTGTTTTAGTATTGGTATTACCCTTCTGCATCATCAGTCCTACTATAGAAATAGATCAGCAAAGAGCAGAAACTGAACTGGGTGTCCAAAACAAGCAGGTCCAGTAGACCTTGTTTTTCTTTGTGTGTTTCTAAAGTTCTTAGTTGAATCTGAATTTTGGATGTGCCCAGTTGGCACTGGAGTGAAGGAGAGGGTTTTTTTCACTACTAAGAAACACTTCTACTGTAGTTCATAAGCTGAAATGCTGTTTGCCATATCATAAATAAAGATGAGATGTTTCATTAAGTTCATTTGCTTTTCTGTTACGTGAGTCTAATGTAAGCTTTTATTTCAATATGTATTTCTGAGTCCCATTAAGCAGTAGCATGTCTGACATGTGATATCTTTTTGAAACTCCTTTAGGTTTGATTCTCAACTGGAAATGTTTGAATGGGGATTCCTGGTCTTTCTGGCTGTTCCAAGGAAAAATAAGAATTAAATGTATTCTTCTGTCAATACTGGGTGTATATCCAGTATATACCCAAGGTCCATTTAGCCTATTTAGCTGTTTTTCAGCACAGGGAGGCTAAACCAGTGAAAGTATGAAATATCAGTATATGTGAATGACTGTGCTTAGGGTTACAGATGGACAAAGGGAGGATGATGGAGGCCTCTACCAGTAACTGCAAGCTCTTTAGAGGCATGGGTAGAACCAAAAGTATTCCTGATGTTAGCCAGAGAACAGTTGCTAAAACAATATTTTTATCAGCATTTTTAGGTTCTCTAAGCTGTTGTTCACATAGTATTTAAAAAAAGGGAACTGAAAAAAGCTCAAAATTGAATACATCATCAGTGGAGGGGTTGCCCCTAACTGCAGCAACAAGATGAATTGTAAGAAGGGAACCTGACTGAAATCTGTCTTTGTTGGAAAATAAGCAGGCCTAACCTGTAGTTCTTGAACAGTGTATAACTTTCAAGCAGCTCAAGGCTATGCATGTCTGTAGTCTACTGATCATAGAAATTGTGAAAACAGAGGCATTGTACGTAACTGTGAAATTCTGAAAGATCAGTTTAGAGGGGATCTGCATGTAAGTAACATTTCAAGCAGTTATGCTGCATCCTACATCACATGATTCCTAGCTGTTGTGCAGCAGGAAATCTCAGCCTTTTTCCATTCATCCTCTGGAGCTTGTGGAGGGAAGCACAGATTGGACTTGTATTTAACTATAACTTCCTTCCCTTTGGGAACTCACGTCTGAGCTACTGCGGATTTCTGGCCACGTGGTGTACTTTGATTTCCTGCCCATATGTGAAATTTGAGTAAGCTTTGGCGTCTCAGGGTGGAGAGGGTGACTGGGAGATTTCTTTCTGTGGAAGTAGAAAGTCATTCCCTGATTGTCTCCTTGCCCAGCTTTCTGCATGCATACACTTAGGTACACTCTATGTCATGGTCAGCTCATAGTCTGTATGAGCTGACAATATAGCATGTAAGAGTTAAGCTTTCCTATTTTCAAACTGAAGGACTCTTTCAAAACTTCAGGTAGTTTTGTTGTATCTGATTGAAATTGTTATTTCTGATTTTCAAAAAAAATGCTAGACTGAAGGCTAGCTCCAAGAATGGCAATTTTATGCTGAAGTGTTCACCTGCCAAACAGACTGCCTAAATCAGCTTGCAGGTTTTCCATGCAGTGAACAGATTGTGAGAAGTACATCAAGAAATCATGGATACTGTGGAGAATGAGGGATTGCAGTACAGAAGGGAAGGTGCTTATCTTTAACTAGATATGCATTTTACTTTGAATCCGGTTTTGGAACTAGATGTTCATGCCCAGTCTTCTTTTGTAGCTTTTTGAAAGGGAAGAATTTCTAACAACCAAATCAGTTGCCTTTTTAAATGCAGGAGAACTGGAGTAAGGAAGGCTGTGAGCATGCATGCCTCCCAAATCCTGCAAATGTTCTTTCGCTTAAATTTGTCTGAATAGCACAATCAGTATTGTGTTTTACAATGCTCAGTTGCTAGGAATTTAATTTCCATGTTTATAGATAATGTTTTCTACCTATTTTGTAATGTGTGCAGTGTTTCTCCTGTAAATTTTCTCATGGTGTTAAGCTTCATTTTTTTCCCACAACATTGTATTCAACTTTATTATTGAGGTGTTTATTTCCTTTGGTTTCTAATGTGAAAGAAAAACTCTGCTAAACCTGCAGATATTTCAAGACAGAGCAAGAGGTGCTTGAAGAGGGGAAGCTAGTGCTCAAGTTCACAAATCAAAATAGGCTTGCAGTTACAGCTTAACTGACAGGCAGGAAAATAGCTGTAGTTTTAAGAGCACAGCTGGCAACAGGCTCATGCATACCCCCAGAAAAGTAAACTTGTCTGCCACAATGTCCAGATCTGTTTGGATAATGATAAAAAGATACTGGGCAAAATGCAAGAGTTATCTGACTGTTTGCCCAGAGTATAAATATTTCAGGCTTTGAGTGCTTGTGTGGCTTAAATGTTGCAGAAAGGCTGTCTCAGTTATTTTTAGGTTGGGGGAGCAGGAAGAGTACTTGCTTCCTGTCTTCCCCTCCCCCAGGAACCTTGGGCACGTTAATGAGGAGAAGAAATATAGCAACCCCTGAGTTGGTTTACCAGTTCCTATTGAACAAGGTCAGTACATTTCCTGACCTGCTTTGTGGAAGGAGTAGTACAGCCACTTAGGCAGTATTCTCCCTTTTGAACCAACACAAAGGCATAGAGGGTTTCAACTGAAACAAGTCCACAGTTTACTTCATAGTTGCATATGAATAGTCTCCAAAACAACTGCTGAAGCTTATAACTAGAATTAGTCCTCTAGTTGGTGTTATGTGAACTTTGGTGCTATGCACAAGCCTAACTTGAGAAATCAGTGAAACTGAATACCTCAGTTCCTCTTAGCTATTGTAACGTTAGTATATTTAGGCAATAACCATTAATATCTTTATATCAGCTGTTGTTTCTCTTCTACATAGCTACACATTCATCCTACTTGTAGGTGTTGGCACATATCCATGCTATAAAACAAAGAAATGTGATAACAGCACTTCTTCAGTTCAAGATATACCAGACTGCTTCACTTGACAGTTCAGGGGGTTTTTTGTTACTTTGATCCAGAGGCAAAAGAAAAGCCATAGCAGTGCCTTGGATTTTCTTCCTAACAAGGAGAGGCAAAAAATGCATTTGGTCCTGGTTACTGTAAAAATTGTGTAAGACAATATAATTGCTTCTTTTCTTCTTGCATGAGTACTGGCAGCAGTGCACAGGTGTTAACTTGGGGAGAAAAAGTGTCTGGGCCTATTGTGTGAATCCCGTTTGCCATCACTGTGCACATACACTTCATAAGTGATCACTCCTCCTGACAAAAACCAGTCTGCAGCAATCCAGCTGGGAGTACAGAGCTTCTTGGCACTGTGCAGCGTGTGCAGAGCAGGCTTAGAATCACTCAGGCAAGAAGCAGAAAAATACTAGCTTTGGCATGCAGAAGTGTCCCCATGTGTGGAGCCAGGATAGAAACACCAGGCTTGTCCTAGCATGCTCCTCCAGCAGCTACACAGAATGTAGCTACACTACTATGCAGAGCTGTGCTTTTTTTTCAGACTTCTGTGTGTTTTCCACTTACTTAGCAATGGTGGTTATGCTGTCTTTGGGGATATTGGTTTGCAGTTAGGTCTAGGGTCTTGTTTCATTTACAGTTATGATGTTAGAAGACAGAACAGTTCTTGCTACTTACTTTGATCCTTCTAGCTGAAACAAAAATTTTATGGTGGTATTATATTTTGGGAAACAAACTGTACGAGAGGGAACAAGCTGAATGCAATTTTCAATAGCTTGAATTCTGGAGAAAATGGAGTGTCTGCTTACAGAGACTTGAAACCTCTTGCATCACTAATTAGGCACAAGCAGTCAAATCTTAATCTGATGTCTGAATTATACTCAGTTAAGAAGCTATAGCAGAGTATGTTTACTTGACTAGTGAGAAAGTTAAGCAATTCCAGTTGGCTTCAAATATATTTTTAATTTGCTGATGAAAAATCAAGAATTTTGATGCTAGTTAAACTTTGTCAGTAGTTCTATGGACCTATGCAGTTTGCTCTGCAGGGGATTCCCATTTTCTAACAGTCTTATTCAATACAAAATGAATAATAAATTAAAAATTTTGTGAGCACTTAGCTAGTTAAATATTGGTAGGAGTATCCCTGTCAAAAGATGAAAAGGAGCCTTTGTTGTTAAACAGTATATAAATATAAGCTGAAGTGGTGAATCACATGAGAGATGGGCATAACTCAATATCCACTGCTTTCAGACAGGAGGGTCTGCACACTGCAGTTAAGCTCTTTGTGGGTATTGAACAGTCTGAACATAAGGAAGGCTGGTGCCTTCTGCTGTTCTTGATGAAGTTGGAAATGGTAGAATTGAGGCTGCAAGGGGAATCACATTCCAGTTCGTGGTTTGATGCTTTAGAATAAAGCCTTTTGCTGCTTATTTGAGAGCTCACCTAAAAGCTTGTCCAAGTTGTGAGCCTTTCATGGGAAGAGTGTGTGGGGTGGGGGGTGTGGTTTTAAGAAGCTTGTGTTTCAAAATAAGCCTTTCACAATTCCTGCTTCTGGTCAGATTGTACATACTTCACATGTGTGAAGCATGCAGCTTAGCTAGGTAAGATGTAGCCTGTTGGCATGTATCCTCTGCAGGCTGAGAATAACATTATCTACATCTAGAAGACTGGGGTAACTTCTTCATATGATGCTCACCCTGAGCTGCTCTAATCTGTGCATGAACATGTATTACTGGTGGTTACTTCTAACTGCTCCAACCTCTGAGAAAGGAAAGAAGCAAACACATTGTTAGAGCTTTCTGGGGCTGTTGAAGAATCAGTAATGGGATGCAAGTGGTAAATTGACCTGTAATACAGTAAGGCTAAAGGGAGTGCATTAAGATGAAATTAGGGATTTCCAGTTAGGAAGATGGAACTGAAAGCTAGAGGAAAGGGGCTGGGGAAATTGGTAAGGTGAGATAATATCAAGAAGAAAAGTGTGGTGAGCTCATCCAAGAGTAAGAGAAGTGCCTGTGGTGATGGGAGCCATTTTTAGAAATAGTGAAAGAACACTGGAAGCCTTGCATGAGAACCTGCTGAAAGTTAATGTCTGTTAGCTAATGATACCTGTCATCAGGGAGTCAGTGCAGAAGTCTGGAATCATGGGATGGCCAAAAACAGCACTGAGACAGCTGATGGGGTTTTCAGCTTGACCTATGGGCTGGAGGAGGAGTCATGGACCTGTGGTAGGTGGTTGGAAAAGACTGTAACTACTTGGGTAGTAACCCAGCTTAGTAATGAGTGATTAGCAGCAGGGCCATGTTCATCAAGGTGAGTGACTGGAGTTCAACTCAGCCTTGAAACAGCTTCTTACTGTGCCTGAGCTAGGAACTGTTATGTTGGGGCAGTTGTGGATGCCAGAGGCAGTCATGGCTTGAGATGTTCTCTGCAGTTGCTCTTTACAAGCCCTGTGTTCTGATGGCACAGTGTCGTGCTCCATCACCCCAGCTGCTGATCATTTGTGTGACTATGCTGTGAACAAAGGACTGATGTGTTCAATAAGGAGATCACTTCTTCCTACTCTTACATTCAGTTTTTGAGTTGGGACTGACTGTGGACCTAAGATTAGTCAAAATAGTCCTGTAGGGACTGTGTTCCACATCATGCAAAATCTCTGGCCATACTGCTGCAGAAACACCCTTTTCCTTTTTTCACTGTTTAACCATGTGAGTGGATTTCCAAAGCACATCAGTGCCTCGTGTCAGGGGCACAGTTAACTAGAAACTATTGGCTTGAGATGGGGCAAAGTCTTGTTCAAGGCATATTGTTAAATATTACCACGAGACACTCTCAGCTGTAGTTTCATTGTTTTGTCACAATTTAACAAAATTATTCCTGCAGGAAATGAAGGAGGGATCTTTTACTGATACCATGACAAGAAATAAATTGGGCAACAGTATGCAGCCTGTAATTACAAGCTATATAAAACAAGGGCGTCCAGTGGCCCAGGCAGTCTGTTCTAACTTTTCTCAACTTTCACCTGTTTTCATAATGCTGCAAAACAACAGAAATAAGTAGAACTGGATTTTCTGCAAGTGTGTGTCTTCTGAGCGTCAAACATTTTTCATTTCCATTTCATGGATTAAACCAATGCAATAAAATGAGCTTAATGACAGAGTAAGTCCTGCTTTTTCATAAACTTTTTTCTCCTACCTTCCCCTTGCCTTTCCATGGTAACTCTGGAACCTCATGAGTTACTAGTAATGCTGGCAGAGGCTAATGTTTACAACTCAGTCTGTTTTTTGAATACAGGCTTCAGTCTTCTCTAGCAAATTGAAACCAGATGGGAACGGCAGGGAGCAGAATGGAATTTATTTCTCTTATGTGGCTTGTGATGTTAACAAAACTCTTTGGGTATTTTTATTGTTATTTTGCCTAGAAAATGACTTGTACCTCCTTTCTGTCCAGTCTCTGTAATGTGGAAGCCTACAGCACCTACCCCAGCACACTGAAAGCCTTCCCTGCGGTGTGTTGCTTTACTTCCATTGCAGTGACAGACTGTGGTATAATCCTATAACATTTTTTTGTGGGGTGTTTTGGGGTTTTTTCCAAGTAAAATGATCAAAACCACTTAATCCATCCGGATTTTTTTTTTCTGCTCTTCTTGCACAGCTGATGGAGGTGAAATGCAATTCGTTTTGCAACATTTAACAAGTCTTTCTCTTTTCTCCAGCGACCCTAGGTGAAAGTAAACTAAAGGAAGACTTGCTGAAATCTGAAGAGGGAGACAGGCTCAGTCACTCAAACTACAGTGGTTCCAGAGTCTGTAATGTAGACAGGATAAGGATTTTTTCTGTGCAGTTAATGCTGTGCTTTTTTTGTTGGTTTCTCAGGAGAAAAGACTCAACATGTTGAATCACAGAGATGTTACTTCCTGCTGGGTTTTGGGATTTCCTTTCAGCTCTCTCCTCCATGGCTGCAGGAGCTGTTTTTGCATAGTGCATGTTCTAAGGCAGGAACTTGCTGGAGATTAAGACAGAAGCCAACCAGTTCTGTGCTGAATGTAATAGTTTCTGACTCAAATTGTGTGGTAATTGTCAGAATATCATAGGCTGTTGCAGGAACTGCTGTGTTGAACATGGCTGAGGATTTATTATTTCATAATTTGCCTAAATGAGTATAGGATGCTAATCTGAATTAACATATGAAAGTGGAGGGGAAAGATTTCTTGATCTTTTCTAGCCACTTGAAACCTGATTGTGTGCAAAAATAAACTTCAGTATGCTGAAGTAGTCATGGGGTTTTTTCCCCACTTGCTCAGTCTTAACTCCCATTCTTTCTGATTTCCCACACAAAGAACAGCTACTTGCTATAGCTTCAAAAATATTAACAAAATACTGTGAGCACTGGAAATATGATAGAGTTTTAAACTACTATCAGCTTCACTAGGAATTAAAAACATGTAATCCTGGAAGTTATGGTAGTAAATTGATTGCAAGTATTTTGACATACAGCTTGCTTTCCTCATAGAAGAGAAGTATTCCAGCAGCTTCCTACAGGACTGAGTTCCAGTGTCATGTGTAAGATTGGCATGGTTACTATGAAGACAAACCTTAACAGAATTCATATGAACTCTACTTCTTCAGCAATTGTTTTTGATAAAGCAGGTCTTGCAGCTCCAAGAGGCAAACAGGAAGGGGATGGAGGGATGGTAGTTAACTTTTCAGGCAGATCAACTGCTGGAGTTAAGCTCTCCGAATGTGGAATAGTGTCAAACACTGCAACACTCCTGTACCCTTTTTCTTCAAAAAAGGCTTCAGATGTGCTGTCTTTTTACCCTGCAGTGCTAGAGGAGAGTTCTGCATGAAGCCATTTCTCTTTTGTGTTTTAACCTCTGCTGTACATTGTCCAGTCCTTGTTCAGCAGACTGTTCCATTTGGTGGACTGTCCTCTGGTGCTGTTTGGAGAAAAGAAAGCGAGTTGATCTATAGCTGAGTATCTAAAACATGGAACTTCAGAGGACTGCCTGAAGTTGTTAAACCTAATGACTTAGAGCATCCAGAAAAGCCACTTCACAGGATAATCCTTCCCAGCACATGCCATGATAATGCTTCCAGTGTCTTTGAGTTTTTGTCTCTGGGTCTAATGGTCCTAGGATGTGAACTGTCAGAAGTGCAAATTCTGACATAATTTCAAATAAGTGAATCTTCCATCCCTAGATGGAAGTTCTTGCTGGATTTAAAAAAGGCTATATATTTTAATTAGGTACAGTCTGTGTGCCTAATTTGATGAAAAAATGCTTGAAAAAATAATATTAATGAAAATTTTCCTTAATGGTGGATGACAGACATGTAAACTACTGTTGGACTCTGTGTGTGTGTGTGACTGGCTGTTTGTTAAGGGAAAAGCATGTTTTCAGAGTGTGGTTTTTGGACTTCCAGACAGATTACACAAACTCGAGGAGGCCCAGCCCACATCCTGTGTAGAAAACCAGCTCACAGAAATGCTCAGTGTTCTTCAGGGTTATAAGTCACTGCATTTTGTGCCTCCCCTCTATTTCAAAATATTGTATGGAAAATACTAATGCAAAGGAACCACAGCAGCTTAACAAGTGCTTGGTCCTGCCAGGTACTGAGCTCTGTGCTCTTACCAGAAGGCTGGGGGACTGGGATTAAACCATTAGGCTCCCTGGCTAGAGAACAAAGAGTTTGTGTTGGTAAAAGTAACTGAGTATTTATCAGGTGAGTAAATCAATTGATAATTGACATGCTTTCAACCTGAAAGTTGTTTGTGTGCAGCCATGCCAGTGTTTACTATCCTGGAGTGGGAGTTACAGGATATGGAGTTTTCTTCAGGCAGGGTGAGTTCTCCATGACACTGATTCACCTCTGCTCAGTCTTCACTGCAGAAAGAGAGAATGTGGGGTGTCCAGATCTGATGCCTCACCAGAAAGTGGTTAGTGTTTCTGAATCTCTACCCATGCTTATTGCTGGGTTGTGTTTTTCAACCTGCAAGCTAATGGACTATCCATGAAGAGAGCTTTCAAGTCAAAAACACTAAATCCTCTTCACTCTTCCCTTTTTTGAATGTACATTGTTATCTTGGAGGTTATTTTTGAAAAGCTGAGGTGCTTTCATTTTTAACTTTTAAACAGGATTGGTGTTCAATGTTAATTTTAAACCACTTGTATTATGTTTTTCTTACTTCAAAAAAACAGCAGCTTATATTTTTTGCTAGAGTTCGGTACCCATTTAAGACTAAAATATTTGTTACGATAATCCAGATGTAGCTAAGCAGAAGGCTGCCATGAGAGTGCTTGAGGTTGTTCCCTGCTTTTCTCCAGTCCTCTGAAAGGAATCACTTCCCTTTAGTCTCTGCCAGTCTCCTGACTGTGCAGCATTCCCAAAACATGTGGACCATAAAATGGGATTATAGGGGAGGCATTCAAGTAAACAGAAGTTCCCTTGGGATGAGATTTGCTTTTTCATGTAGAGCTCCTGTGTGCTGTAGCCTGGCACTGGAATTTGCTTGGTGACCCCAAGGGTGGGAGAGCACCCAGGCCATCCTCATGTTTTGGGCATAGTCTCTCCTGGCTGGCACAATAAAGTCCCCCTTTGCAGTGTTTTTGGAAGGACACACCCAAGTGAGAGGTTCTTTCTGTGTCTCTTCAGTGTCTCTGTGTAACAATAAAGGGCCAGTCTCATGATGCAGCTATGGCTGCCAGAAATCTGCAATGAACCTACAGCTGTAGCAGTCATTAATTGCACAGTATTGCTGAAGCATTCCAGTGCTTCTGTGAGTTGTGTTCAGGGGTAAGTAGCTGCTTGGAGATAAAAAACTTCGTGCTTTCATAGAAACATATTATCCACCATACCTTGGAGGATAACATTTTCTTTCTGTGATTGCATGGTCCTCTTCTGTTGAAAGTATACAGCCTGGGCAGGCTCAGTCTGCAGTTTGAGTACTTATGAGTTCTTTGTTGAGACTAAATTGTGTTGGCCTCAGCAGGGAACGTTTCCAGACCATCCATGCTGGCCTAAATAACTCAGGCTGTCATTGTTGCTCCACAGGATGATGCTGTGTGGGATATCAGGGCACAAAGCCTTCAGACTTGTGTTCATTTCACTGTAGCTATGTTTCATATTTTGAAAGAACTTGCCACAAATTGATGTTGTCCTTCTATCTCTCCAGTGGCTGCTAGTCAGTAGTGTTCCCCTTATCACAGGCCCATAGAATGGTCTGGATTGAAAGGGATCTTAAAGATACCTGATTCTACCCCCTGCCATGGACAGGGACACTTTCCCCTAGACCACATTACTCATGGCCCCATTACTCAGTGTGCCCTTGCACACTTCCAGAGGTGGGACATCCACAGCTTCTCTGGATAACCTGTTCTAGTGTTTCACCACTCTCACACTAAAGTATTTCTTCCTGATACCTAATGTAAACTTGCCCTCTTTCAGATTGAAGCCATTCCCCCTTGTCCTGTCACTACCTGCCCTTGTAGGAAGTCCCTGTCTGGCTTTTCTGTAGGGTTCCTTTGTATATTGGAGGACTCCTTGTTGCCAGTAGCAAGGCTTCAGATGCTGGTGGCCTTGTCTTGGCTTCCTGCAGGTGCTGCTCTGTACCATGGCACAGCTGCTTTTGTGCAGGGGGAAAGCTGCAATTGTAAATACTGTCCTTAAAACAGCAGGAATTCATATATTCCCTTAGGTGGCTGTATTCCAGACATGGCCTGTGTTTATCGTGTCCTTGATGTGCTACTGGGCATTAGTGAGGAATATGATAAGAGATCCCTCCAGATTGGAAGACTGCCCCTCTGCATTTGGTCAGCACAGCTTTATTTGTACTGAACTTTACCTTTCTTTAGAGGTGACTCTGAACAGAAACTGTTAAACTTCTTTTGATTGTGAAGCTTTGAACCTATAGCAACAGTGAGAATTTTCAATTATCTGAAGAAATGTATACATCAGAAATTCTTGGGGTTTTTTTCTGCACCTGGTACAAGGAAGTAGAACAGCCCTGGGAAACAAACAAGACAACCCAGTTCCTGCTGCTGTCAAAGGCAGCAAATCCATTCATTCGTGTACCTCCTATTGTAACCAAAGCAAAGAATTACTTGCTATGGGTTCTAAATCAGGAGTTGCTATTCTTTCTCGTTTGGTTTCTTTTTAAAGCCTTTTGGCTTTAATGGGGAGCATGCTTACAAAATTAAGGGAGGTAAATTTGGGGTGTGTATCTCACACCACAGGTGGCTGCACTCAGGGGTAATGTCATTGTTGCAGCTGTACACAGCTTTTGTTTCTAGAGGGTCAGATTCTCTGCCCTCATCTATAGGTGGGGTATAAATGAGAGAAAGGCTGACTTAATTTGATGGCGGACTATTGATAAGAGTAGTGGTTATTTGAAGACTGTTTTATCCTATTTAAGGTTGGGATTTTTTTGGAAAGTCTGATTTATGGGTGTATTTTGTACCAGAGCCCATTCAAGAGCTGGGTCTGAATAAAGCTGTCATTTGCTACATCTCCATTGGTATTTTCATCACATCTTAACTGTATGAGAGTTAAACAGGATTATTAAATAAAATTTTCTGAAGGTCAAGAAGATAAATTAGTATTTTTAATACCTACAGGTTTTAGGAAAACATGCTGAATTATGAGGGGAAGTACAACATATTTAATCACTGTATTTTTCTAATAAATATAGATGATATAGCTGTAATTGCAGGGAACTGAAAATGTCATGTCAATAACAGTAGCACCTGCTTGTATTTAATTTAATTTGTGTGTGGGATTGTTTATATTGTAGAAAATGGCAGTTTAGGAACAAGCTTTTGAGGGGAAGGATATGTTGCCAAGGCTGCAATATTTTGTATTACACTGTACAGACACTGTATCATAACTCAGAGTATTTGTGATCTTCCCTCCCTTTGCAGTCTACCTGCTCACCACTGCCGTCAGGAAGGTGAAGTTGCAGTGAGCTGGGTCGGCAGCAGAAGCCTCACTTTCCTTGCAGTGTTTGATTGGTGCCTGTGTAGCTCTGTGAATGACTTGTTACAGAGTCAAGTAGGTGCCAGTGCAAGGGAAGCAGGAGGAGGAATCTCCTGATTTGGCAGCAGTTGGCAGTCAGATTGGCTTTATGGTTTCATGAAGTCCTGTCTGTAAGTTGTACCCACATCTGTAACTATCTGGAAAGGCATGGTTGTTGAAGGCTTTGCTTCCCTGCTGCCAAGTGCCACCCATCTCCTGAGCACTGCCACTGCTGGCCAGCTGCTTGACAGAAAGGTAGGTAGGGGACACAGACTTGGCTGTGAGCTTCTAGGATCTGGTTAGAGATTTCTGGAACTGATGGAGGGAGAACTGCTTGACACATCAGGTTCAAATGGGCCTGTGTGTTCACATGACAAGATGAAATAAGTGACTCTAAAGAAGCATTAGCTCAGACCTGGGCAGCTGCAGTGTTCTGGAAAATAAAGGAATCCACATAGTAGAAAGACAGATAAAGGAATGACTTACCAAGACATTGGTAATGCACTACTGCCAACTATCACATGGGGGGAGAAAAAAAAATGGGGAGATTCAAAAATCCCAGCCAGTTTGTCTGGATCTTTGGACTGGTGCCAAAGTGCTGTGAAATTTGTGGACTGGGGTAAGACAGTAGAAGGTCACCATCACCTTGGGGGAAAAAAAAAGGCCCTAAGCAGTGTCTCTCCAAGGACCTGGCTTTTTTACTATCTACTGTTACAAGTGACACTAGAGATTACTAAAACTGGAAGAAATTAGATGAACCAAACCCTTCTCTTGTTTTCTGGTCAGCGCCATTGTTAACATTCTTGGCAGAACTTCACAGACGCTTTCTGTGGTTTTTCTGCTTGGTTGCACTTCCTGTCTCATTTATTGGCATAATGATGTCACTCACACACACTGGGGAGGAGCACAGTGGTGGGCTCTGCCCCAGATCCTGCAAGAAAAGCTTTCTTGTGCCCCTACAAGAAGACCTTGCTGCTGCTCTGATGGCTGAAATCCAAATGGAAGATTCCTTTTTTGCGCCTCCCCTGGATGGAACTGGGTGGCAGAGCAAGAGGAAGAGGCAGCAGAAGTGTAACGTCATCTTTGGTAGGAAGCTACTTACAGGAACATCTGTGTTCACCTAATATGGGTGAGCACCTAGAGTCTGTGTAGCTCTGTCTGTTCCTCCAGAGCCTGTGTGGAGCTGCAGAAGAGAAGGCAGGGGCAGGGAATGTGCTTTTCCTAAGCAAACAATGCAGTGAAAAGCAGGAATGAGAGCTTCAAACACATCCCTGCTCATGGGAGGAAAGCACTGAGAAAGTCCCATTTTCCCAGTGCTCTTTCGCAGACCAGAAGAGCAGCAGGGTTCGTTTCTCTGCTTCTCCTGCCTGTCCCAAGAAGGCAGCCTGGATCAAGCAGTTTGTCCTTGGGGGTATTGCTGTGGGAGAGGGAGGAATGTGGCTTCAAGAGGTGGCCCTGCAGCCCTGGGGAGCAGCCTGGGCCTGCTGCTTGGTGAGGCCTGTACCTGTGCACAGGCCAGGTTGTGCTGTGCAAGCTGCAATTATGCAGGGAGCTTTAAAGTGGTAGAAATCAGTATGTTAAAATGAACTTGGGAAAACTTCATTCTGGCTCAAAGGGGCTCTTGCAGCATGAGTCATGTGCAGCTGTGGAGGAGCCCTGGGCAGAGCCTTCCTCCCCACTGCTGAATGGGGCTGTCAGAGTGCTGGGAGCCAGGGCAGGGAGAAGAAATACCCCACTTCATTTCCTAACAAGGTGTGCATGGGTGAATTCCCCACAGGGGCACTGGTGGGGGTTTGTGGCTCTGTTTTTCAGTCCCTCAGCTCCACATAAGAACATTGTGCAGCTTGAAACACCCTAAGCCCATCCCCAGGAAGCAGACAATGGTGTTGATATGCCTGTTGCTGCAGAGGAAGTGGCTTCTGTTATAACCAACAAGCAATCTGCCAGAGTCCGTGTTGGGGTGGTTGCCAAAATAAATTTGACATAAAATTATTTGGTCTCTTTGGCTTTTGTCTTGTTGTCTGGGGATGTTCCTTTTGCTTCCTAACATTAAAATCTCACCAGTGGCAGGATTTCCACCCTCCTCACACCCTCCCCCCCACCCAAAAAAAAAAAGTAATACAGACTTTGAAATTTTTAATAGAGAATCCAGTTTTTATTTAATAGACGATGAAAATATTCTTAAATGCTTTCAGGAGGGTAGCAGAACTGAAGCTAAACCATATGTAGCTATGATGTTGCTCAGGGCTTTTGTGATGCTGTTGGAAATATGACATATTATTGCAGAAAAGACAGTCTGGAAGTTGGACTCGAGATGTTGGAGGCATGAGGCGCCCTCTTGTGCTGTTTCTCTGGGAGCAGTGTAAGGTGAGCAGCTTCCCGGGAGCAGAGGCTGAGCCAAGCTTCAGCCTTGGCTTTAGTTTAGTTTGGGGGGTAACTGGTGTGTGCTTTGGCACCTAATCATGATCCAGTGTGGTTCTGATGTGTTGGAGTTACTTGTTGATGGGTCTGCAAACTTCACTTTAGATATACAGTGAATTTTATTCCATTAAAAATGAAGCTTTGAACAGGAAAAAAGAGACTTAGACTTATATCTTCCAAAAGAGAAAAGTAAATTTTAGATGCACACAAAAGTAGCAATGTCTGCTAGGTGCTAAATTTCTCTGATGGGCCAGATCTTAAGTTGAATTTCAGACTTCACTGACTGTTAATAATGTGATGCAAGTTTAGATTTTTTGTTTGTTGGTAGATAGTGCTGTATGTTTGTAATCATTCACCTCTTTGGGCTGTAATAGTATCAGGAAAATGTGCTGCCTGTCCTTGCAAGTCAGTTGTGGATCTAGTCACATACTAGATCTAGTCACTGCTTTTTCAGATTGCTCACTGCAATTGTTTGAAAATACCTACTTTCTCCAGATACCAGACTGTAAGCAGAAGCGCAAACTCCAGAGTAAATGCGGTACATTAATTTCCAGTGTCAACTAAAAAGCTATGTCAGATCTGAAAACATGGATCTTTGGTGACTTAATGCCTAAAGAAATAAGTGTCACCATTTTTTGATATGCAGAGCTCAAAGTCATTCAGAGGACACAAATATCATTTTTCTGGCCTGATGCAAAGTCTCAAACTTACTGGTACCTCCAGGATGCAAACACAACTAAGCATAACGTGCCTTGCCAGCACTTTTCTGACTCTTCAGAGATTAAAGATGTTGCTCATTTCAGTCTTACTGACCCAGAGCACTTTTAGAGTGGGATACCTGTCATCCTGTGACAACATTTATAGCAAAATAGTAGTTTCTATCAGATTTCTCTCTGCATGAAAGCTCCTGAGGATTATGATCATTTCACAGAGCAGCAGCTAGAGCATAAAAGGAGAATGATTGTGCTGGGCCTGCCTGAGGCCCATCTATCTGATACTGATGCTGTCTGCAGCAGACCCTGTAAGCTGGTGCCCTAAAGCCTAAGAGAGCAGCTATAAATGCTTCTTCCTGGACTGCTGTCCCAGCTTCCAACAGTTTTCATGTCCTGAGCTGAATGTGGAGTTTGCGCATTTAGCAAACCTTGATAAATTTAATTCCCGCAATTTTTCCAGTCCTCCACTGAGCTAATGCTAAACTTTTGCATTCACAGCAACCTTGTTGCAGTGATGGACTTGGTCCATTGTGAGCATTGACCATCTTGTCTCCTGTCTCCCATTTTTAACAATTACTTGCCTCAGAAGAACCATCTCGTGACCACACCTGATGCTGTGTGAAAAATAACCTAGACTGATATTTCAGAATTTGTGGAGTGCTATTGGGGATTGGTGTGGTAGTACCCTTCCTTTGCCCTCTGAAGTCTATGTGCTTACATTTTGTCTCCATGAAGAGGATGGGGAAAGTCTTCAGACTGAGTTAAAAAAGAAAAAGTTTCTCTAAGTAGTATTTCTGGGTATTTTGTGAAGTAACTGTGTGAAGCTCTTCAAAAGGCACAGGACTTCACTTCTGTGGTTTGCATAGCAAAATAGCTAATGTAAATGAATTCAGAGACAAATCTCCCTACCAAAATTAGCCATTCCTGAGAACAGAATGTTGCTATTAATAATTTGAGCAAAGTCTGTGGTCATTGTTGTCTTCCATTAACCCTAAATACCTTAAAATATCAACAACAGGCTCCTTGTGGCTGCACAGTTTTACATCAGTGTTTAAAAATTTTACAGTGCCAGGTCTGATGTAGCTGCTGGGGAAAGATTATTCACAGATTTAGTCCTAAATTGCCCAGTGAAATGAAGCAAAAATGAGAAAGGGGACAAATGCTCAAACAAATCCAACATCTTAGGAGTAAGTCATCTTCATTGTTTTTCTAAGCATCTGAATTACTGCTCAATGAATAAAGGAGCAACAATTTGCAGAAGACTGTCAGCTATAATGTAATGTTTTGATAAAATGAAGAAATGTTCATATTAGCATAGGCCTGATAAGACTGTGGATTCAAATGTGTGCACTGAGCATGTACAAGAACTGACATTGCTGAAGTACAAGAGCAACACTTTGTAAAAGACTCAATTTAAATTGCTGTTTCGCATCCTATTCTGCTGTTTCACAGGAGGTGTGTATGTATACTTTTCCCTAAAATATACAGTGATGGAGACAAGGAGAAGTCTTAGGAGACAAGATAGCCAGTGCTCACAATGGACCAAATTCATCAGTGCAGCAAGGATGCTGTGAATGCAAAAGTTTAGTATTACACAATTTATGACATAACTGAAAAGTAGCATCTTGCATTTACAGGAAGAAGGCAGGGGGCAGGCAAGAGAGTGTGTAGCAGAGCTGCTGGCTCGCAGCAATCCTTATTCAGTGTTGCAGCAGTTAACTCCTGCCTTTTAAAAAATGAGTTGTTTAATTCCACTTTCCTGCATATGTCCAGGAGCCAACTCTGAGCTCTGCCTGTTGCCACATTCTGTCCTTGCGTGCGAGATTATATTTCCAGATAAGCATGAATAGAGTTCAAATGAATCTATCAATAATCAGTGGAAAGGATGTCATAATGCAAAGTCTGATACTGTACAAAAATATACAAGTCCTTGAAAACATGTATTTGGAAAGGAACTGCTTTATTCTTAACATAGCTGCAGGTCTGGCAGCAAGAGCTCATGAAGAGGTGTGGGAATTAGCTGCACAGCCTCCCTGCTGGCAAGGAGAGCTGGGAGGCTGTGTGCTACTGATAGGAGACTCCTCATTTTTCAGTCCCTTTGGGTAAAGGAAAGTAAATGATTTTTCTTTGCTGATGAAACACATTGTGAGGCAAAGCCACGGTCAAGAAGAAAAAAATAAGTGTTGAATGGAAATAAAATCTCTATCTCAAGTGAAATAAGGTATGTAAGATATCAATTTCTTTTAGGTTGTCATAATCTCTTCGATTCATCAGCTAAAAGAAGATGTATGAGGAAGATGGGGAAAAGAAGAGATGGCTGAAAATGAAACACACATTTTTAATTGCTCCATTGCTCATTCTCTGATTTGGATCTGCTTGTAATTAAGCTAAACTATTTTCAATGGAATTTTTCTTTGAAGTATTTGCAGCAATGCAGAGTATGTGTGGTACTGTGCTGAGCCTAAGGAAAAGGGCAAATAGAAATACTCCCTTGTCCTGTGAATGCCACAGTCTCTCTAAGGACTCCCATGACTATTAAGCAGGCATTTTTCCCAAAAATCTACATTCTTACAGCATCATTTATAGGGAACTTAAACAGCACTCTGTAATGATGCCCTCTGGTGACTCCAAGAATTTTTACACTATAATGAAATAAAAAACAAGATGGAATTTGGCCTGCTAAGTACCCTGGCAAGTTGGACTATTCATTAAAGATTAATGAGCAAATCAGAGCTCCTAGAGCTCAGTCAGGCAATATATATAAGCCGTACACATACAGAGGTCCAGGACTACCTCCAAGTGTTGTAGGAGCAGAGCTGTAATGTGTAGGACAGCCTCTCACCCAACCATGCAAGTAATCTCTTCTAGATTAACAATAAAAAAACCTGCCTTTTGGCACTGCAAATTCATCATTTCTTTTCTACGGCTTAGAGAAAAGATGAAATAAAAAAAAACCTCTTGAGCTTTTCTTGAGGCAGAGAATGTGGAGGATGTTAATTGATTGTATGAAATCTTAGAAATTAACCAGCTGTTCAAAGGAATGCCTCTTGTTTATTCTACACTGACTGTGGCTGCCACGCCGTCTCTGGAAAGCTGATTTCTTCCATGCACTGTTTCCTTTCCTGGATATTGCTTTTTATATGGACAATCTGTCTGCAGCATCTAACATCTCTACATTTCCTGCCCATCATTTCCCCACCATACATGCACACATGACTAGTGTTGTACTGACTCTGGAGCTCGTGTGCTTCTTCCTCTGTGCTGGTTGAAAAGGACTCTCTCTATTTGCAGGGCTGTGTTATTTCACAGCTGGATCTGTGGATGTACAGTGTCTGCAGACAAATGCAGATGGAAGGAAACAAGTAATTGTGGCTGGGAATGGATGGAGTTGGTGTGGGCATCCCCTTCAGTATTGCTTCTGTTTTAAATCATGACTGAAGCTATGTCCTGATCCATATGGATGCAACACTGGCAAGGTAATGAGATTATTGAACTCTAGGGCAGGTAGCCCAACAGAGAGCCATTCACAAGCTCATACAAGCAAGGTAATGAAAAGGGAATAAACAAAAGAACCTCAAACAACCCAAAACCACCCCCCCCCGGAAAAAAAAACAAAAAAAAACCAAAAAATGCAAAACTAATACACCCCAACCCAAAACAAAAAAAAGCCCAAATAAAACAAACAAACAAAAAAACCCAAGAAAACAAAACAAACCAAAAAAACCCAACAAATCCCCCACCCAAAACTGTGTTAATAACATTGTATGAGGTATGATGTATTAACTAATTACCTCATCTTTTTTAATTGAATTGTCAAATTAGGCTTATACTCCCAATAACTGTATCAGTAACTCCTCT